TCAGGTGTGTCTGTTACCTTTTCAGAATACTTTCACTTTATACATCATGGGTTTTTTGGTCCTTTGTGTTATCTGTTACCAGTTCCCAGCATGTTCCACTCCCCTCCTTCTCTATTTCCTCTTCACACAGACTCGCATTTTCCAAAGGAACATCAGAGAATCTGACCTGCCACCCCCAGGGCAGACGTATCAGAGGAGCTTAGTCCCATTTGCCTGAGTATCCTTTGAGTCTCCCAGGAAAATAGTAAAATAAACTTGGGGCCTAGTGGTCAGATCCCATGCATTCAGAATTACTATGTTCTCAAACAGAATGGGGCAGAGTCAAAAGCCTGTGTCAACTTCTCCATAGGGTGCCTTTGGTGGGCAGGAAACACATCTGAAAGGAAGAGCAGCCTATAGTATAGGACATATAGTCGAGGATACAGGCAACAATTGATTGTCTGATAGACAAATCTACATTGTCTTTCTCATTTCTTCTTATATTATTGACAAAATAAAATGTTATATACTTGAAAATTAGCAACAATTGTCTGATGGACAAATCTACATTTTCTTTCTCGCTTCTTATATCATCGACAAAATAAAATGTTATATACTTGAAAATTAGCAACAATTGATAGACAAATCTACATTGTCTTTCTCATTTCTTCTTATATTATCAACAAAATAAAATGTTATATACTTGAAAATTAGTAACTTTTTATCAACTTTAGTGTGTACAACGTTCTAGAGATCAGAATGGAGCTCACTTCTCATTCATGCCAAGCACACCTGAGTTCAGCCTGGACTATGCTGGAAATGGGAGTGGAGGCTGAAAAATGTAACGCCTGTATCACTTACACCAGGGAAGTAGTTCTTCTCTTGGGGAAAAAGAAAGTTCAAAGCAAGTCTTTTTGTTTTCTTTTTGCTAAGGTAAGGAAGTAACTTTTCACTTACCTCAATCATTCAGCAGAGAGATGACTTTCAATTTCAGAGAATATGCTGTAGGAGACTCTACCTCTCCCTAAGTTTTGGAACACTGTTCAATAAAACAAAGCCTTTGTGGATATGAAAAACATCTGGTCATTTCACAAGAATCTGACATAAAATATAGGGGACATAGCAAACCCGAATTTCATATACAGCAGGGGAGGGGAGGCTAGAAAATATGTCAGAGACAGGAAGTTATCCACTAGGGAATCTGGAACTGAAAGTATTATATTCAAATTTGGAAGGTATGCTAAGGTATGACCAAACATTGGTCTGGTGGTGTTCATGAAATTAAGTTTAGGGTATGAGAGGTATCTATTTAGCCATGCAAACTCCAAGCAACTGAGATGAGATACAAATGAACAGCTTGTGTGACTACTGAGGAAGAGAAAATGCGACACTAGGTGCTGTACAAGAAACCAGTGCTTTCAAATACAAGCCTATATCAGTATGACGAAGTTGCAAATGACAGAGAACTCAAATCCAACTAGTTTAACAAAAGATGTTTATTGGCTCACATGACTGAAAATTCCAGAGGTGAGTCTATTTCAGGTAAGGCTTGGGCTAATGGCTCAAATGTCAGCAGGGACCCAGTTTTTCTCTGCTTTGCCACTCTCTCCTTTGGTACTGACTTCATCCTCAGGCTCCACATGCTAACACCAGGAAGCTACAGACTACCTCCCTCTTAACAGAATAAAAGTGTTGTTGCAGTTCAAGGCCTCATATCTTCCTATATACCATCCACAGGAGGACAGAATATCTCTTTTGGTTGCTCTCAAAGAAAAGCCTCTCTCTTTCAGAAGGCCAGGTAACTATCTCCTCAGATCTCATTGGCTCTGTGGTCAAAGTAATAGGGTGTTGATGCACCTAGGCTAACCAGGATCCACTTATGAAGTTGGGGGTGGACCCAAACCAGGTGGCTGAGAAAGGATGCTTTCCCAAAGAATATTTGGGTTACTGTTCCCAGACAGAAGAATGGATGCTGGGAACCAACAAAGAGATGAATAGTACAGAACCCTGATTTGGCCGTGACAAAGACATGCTCAGAATTGCAACCACTGGTTTGCAACAGAGTTGCTTCTAAGACAACTCTGTAGCTACCTCGGAGTTGAAAAATAGGGGGGATTTAATAATTCATTCCCCCCAGAGATTCTGGGCAGGCCAGTTAATTTTCATTATGTGAATGACTCTATACACTGTTTTTATATTTCCTTACTTTCCAATCCTATTTTGGAAAATTTGGAAGATAAAAATTTACCATAATCAATTCTTGATTTTAATATATTGCTAGTTGGGATTTATCAGAAAGTACCTTATATTTCTAATTTTTTCCTTTATATGTCTCCAAAATTTAGGAAATGAGTACTAATCATTCCTCTTCTGACTTCAAGATGTGTGGAAAGTATTATTACAAATTGGAAAATCTTCCATGTTATGATTCCTTCATCACACACTACAGTCTTTGATGTAGGCTCAGGACTTCCAAGTGCCTGTCTCTGGGTCTCTGGTAAGGAAAAGACTAGTGAGGAATTTTTTTGATAGGGGCCATCCATTTCTACGTGCTACTTCTTAATCCCTCCGAAATTTGTGTCTTTGCCATATGTGGGCAATTCTTTGTGACACTCCTAAAATTTGTCTTCCCATCCCACCACTCTGCCTACAAACATTTCCATCTTTGAGGGAGAGTTCCTAGGGTTGATCAACCTCCATGGTGCTCCTCCAGAAGTCCAAACTGTTTCTTCTCTTCCAGGTTCCATTTCTGTGGTTTCTGCTTCCTATTCGTTATCTGTCTCTCTCCCATTTTAAGATACTGACGTCATCTAGGATACACATCATCTTCACTCTGGGAGCTTATTAACATTTAGGATTTTAATGATTACCTCCTTTTAGCACTGGTCCAAGCATTCGACCTTATTTCAACTGCTGCCTGTGTAATGTGTCCACTGGTGATATTGCCAGCCTCTCACTGACCTTTTTTAGCCTCTCTTCCAGGCACTTCCTCCTGTCCAACTCCCTAAATATTGAATCAGTGTTTCATAGGACTCTATCCTGGGTCTTCATATTTTGCTGTATTCTCTGGAGGCAGTACTGTCCAACAGAACTTTGTGAAATGATGGAAATGTTCTATGTCAACACTATCCAATATGGTAGTCAACTCCCACATAGTTATTGTGTGCTTGAAATCTGGCCAGTCTGATAAGAACCTAAAACTTACAATTAAATTTAAATACCTACATTTGGCCAGTGGCTACTGTGTTGGATAATGCAGCTCCAGGAGATTTCACTCATTTCTTCCCACAGCTTAAAATACCTTTTGCTCATTTGAGGACTCCCAAATGCAAAGCTCTAGATATCACTAACCCAGAGCTCAAACCCATATATACAACCACCACCTGGACTTTCTACTTGTATATCTCACACATATCTGAAATGTTAATCCAAAACAGACTTCTCGATTTCTCCCTCCCCAAACCTATTCCCATTCCAGTCTTATTCATTCCAGTAAATGGTCTGCTATCTAACTCAGCTGCTCAAACCAGAAACCGATCCCTAATTCCTGTTACTCCTATATCCAATCCTTTAACAGGTCACTGATTTTTTTTCCAAACTGTATCTTAAATATATTTTCTCTCCATTTCTACAACCACCACCCACTCCAAGCCACTCTCATCTCCAACCTGGATGGCTAGCAGTCTCCAATATGACCTCTCCTTTCACTTTTGTCCCTTAACAAGCCATTTTCTACACAGCAGTCAGGGACCATCTCAAAATGTGAATCAAACATGTCATTCCTCCACTGAATGTCCTCTAATAGCTTTTCACTTGGGATGGAATTGAATGATCTGAGCCACCTATGTCTACAAGCCTAACTTGTGCCCCTCATACCCTTGATCATTATGCTATACCTAAAACCTTTTGGTGTCTTGAACATGCCAAACCCTTCACACATCAGAGTCTGCAGAGATGTTCCTCTGCCTGCTGTTCTTCCCCCATTCTTCATATATGTGCCTTTTTCTCATTCTGAGAGGTTTAATGTTACCTCTTAGGAGAGGTAGGCCTTCCCTGACTATTCATATAGAGGGTTCCTCTCTATCATTCTCTCTCTCTGTACCATTCATTTCCTTTATAACACTTAGCAATCTTTAATAAATTACTTGATTTTTTTTTGTTTGGTCTCTCTCATTAATGTTCCAGAAAGGCAGGAAACCAATCTGACTTACCATTGTTTATGCAGCATGAAGCATAGTGCTTTACATGCAAGCAGGTACTCAGTGATTATTTGCTTAATAAACTTCCCCCAAATGCCTGTCCACATCACTCATTTCCATTTCCTGGTTCTGTTTGGTACAAAAGTTTTCCTACTTAGTAGAGGCACCCTAACTAGACTATGCGAGGCCAAGTTCTCCTTACTACGTCAGCAATCAGGGGCTCTAGAATTAATGTTTGTAATTTTCAGGAACCAGTTTAGTCCAAGCCAGCCTCTGGCTTCTCTTCCTTGCTCCTTAGTCAACAATTATATTACCTGGCTAGGAGCTTCTAAAGCAGAATGCCTAATTAGCAGAGAGGCAAAATGCAATCTGAAAATGGTTCTAAAGGTGAAGTCTGGAATGTACATTTCATCTGTTTTGGCCAGTGCTCTCCTCTGAATAGGGCCTTTGTTTCTCTAACCCTTGAAGGTGGTCAATAGCATTCTCTAATAATATAGCTTACTCTGGGGGCGCCTGGGTGGCGCAGTCGGTTAAGCGTCCGACTTCAACCAGGTCACGATCTCACGGTCCGTGAGTTCGAGCCCCGCGTCGGGCTCTGGGCTGATGGCTCAGAGCCTGGAGCCTGTTTCCAATTCTGTGTCTCCCTCTCTCTCTGCCCCTCGCCTCTTCATGCTCTGTCTCTCTCTGTCCCAAAAATAAATAAACGTTGAAAAAAAAATATCTTAAAAAAAATATAGCTTACTCTGGGATGTGGGCTATCATGGTGATGAGAAGGGACAGGCTGGAAGGGGATTTGGGATAGTAGAGCAATCAGAGAGGTTATAGCTATACAAATTTTTATGGAAACAAAAATCTCCCACTTGGTTTACATTTTCCTAGTCCCAGATTCCTATCTTGTAACACAAGGGCAGTCAGGTCTCCCACAAGTGCATAACCCAGACTACTCTCAGTTACTTTGCTTAAGTCATCTTGGTGATCTCAAAGTAGACCACAACTTCTGAGGAAGAGAAAGTTCTGGAGTTGGCAATGTAACTGCACTATCATCTACATCAAATGGTTTTCAGTGAGGTAGACTGTTGAAAGCAGTATTAATAAGCACTTGTATATAGAAAGAATATGCCCAGGAAGACACACAGCCAGTAACAGTGATGGTCTCTAAGGAGGTAGACTGGGAGACAGGAGTGACAAGATTTACTTTTCAATGAACACCTTTTTGAACTATTTCAACTTTTTTTTATCATGAGCATGTTATATCTAGTAAAAAATAAGTTAAGTTTCAGAATTTGAAAAACATAAAAGAAATAGTGTTGGTCCTCAAAGAGCCATTTAGCTGGACTAACACACGTGAGACATTAGAAAAATATAAGACAGCACACAGTTAAATACCAATGTGGACAGTACTGACTACAAGTAGAAGAGGAACAGGGGTCTGTTCAGTTAAAGGAGCTGGGTCTTAGATGAGGAAGGGAAATTTGTAGCCCAGGGAAACTTGAGCAAATAGAAATGAACAGAAGCAGAAATGTGTACAAATAAAGAACAGAAAACTCTGGAGTCAGATAGGCCTGATTTCAATCTCTATTCTGTAACATATTAGCTGAGTAACCTTGAATGAGTTTTACAACTTCTTTCAACCTCAGACTTCTCATTAGTAAAATGAGGACAAGTACCTACCTTAACAGGATTAAGGAAAACAAAAGAATGTATGTAAAGTGGTTAGCAAGTGCCTGACAGAGCAGATGCTCAACTAAAAGTTGCCTAGCACGAACATGGTTGAACAGTGGGACCATCTTGCTAGAGTACAGGGTATCTGTTCAGAAGGGGCAAGATAATACTGACTATTAGAGTTATAACAAACCGTGGACAGTCATCTCGTTTTGTCTCTGGGGCTCCTGTAGCATAAGAATTATAAACAAGCATCACCCTTATGCCTTCTCTAATGTTCAAGAAGGTGAGAGGTGTGATAATTACAGGGTTTCTCTCTAGCATGGCGCCTCTGGTGCTTAATCAAAACAGAATTCTGACTGAAGGCCTTCCCACAATCATTACATTTATAGGGCCTTTCCCCAGTATGGATTCTCTGATGTCGGATAAGGTGTGCCTTGCAAATGAAGCTTTTCCCACAGTCAGTACATTCATGGGGCTTCTCCCCCGTGTGGACCCTCTGGTGCTGAGCAAGATCTGAGTTCCACATGAAACCTTTTCCACAGTCCTTACATTCATAAGGCTTCTCCCCAGTGTGGATTCTCTGATGTCGAAGCAGGGCTGGGTTCCGAGTAAAGCTTTTCCCACATTCCTTACAAGTATATGGTTTTTCTCCAGTATGGATTCGCTGATGTTGTGTAAGGCTTGTGTTCTGACTAAAGCCCTTCCCACATTCCTTACATTCAAAGGGCTTCTCTCCAGTATGTATTCTCTGGTGCCGAATCAGGTTTGACTTCCAAACAAAGGCTTTAGCACATTCTTGACACACATAGGGTTTCACCCCAGTGTGAATTCTCTGATGTGCAAGGCAATGTGATCTAAAACTGAAAGTCTTCCCACATTCCTTACAACCATAGATCTTCTCTCCATTATGAACTCTCTGATGTTGGTCAAAGTCTTCAGTTTGATCAAAACACTTGCCACATTCTTCACATATACAGAATACCTGCTCACTGAGAATCTTCTCATGTATAACAAGGTGAGTATTAACATCAGTATTCTCTGAACCATCTTCTCCTGAGATCATCTCATCTTTGACAATCACTTCTATAACATCATTTGCAGTGTTCTCCACACTTTTCCCATTGGAGTAGTTGCGCCACCTCCCTAACCTGCTTTTTCCGTCCTCACAGGTTTTCCCAAACCAGAATTCCTGGGAACCATACCACCGGGGTCCACTTGACAGCACCATGTGGTCTTTTGCCTCCTCAAAACCTTCCTCCTTCAGAATAAAATCTTCTTTCTCACTCTTCAACACACCCTCTGAAAGAAGAAATCAAAGCTGCAAATGTCATCATTACCCATAATGGGGCAAATAGCATCACCAAGTGGTATTCATACGTCCATTGCACTTCAAGTGTTACCTCTATGTCCCAGTGGCCCTGTCCTAGCTGAAAATGGCACCACAGGGCGAACACACTGAAAGCAACCAAAGTTTATGCTACAGAAAGGCAGAAACTAGACAGAGTCCCTGAGGGCTAGGATTCCCAGGCACCAGACCAAGCACAGAGGGAGCTCTTCAGGAATAGTTTAATTGAATCTAAGGGAGACAAGTAAGAATTTCTTCTAGGTAGTCTAGTTTATAACATGAGAAACAACATGTTCAGAAATAAAGAATCCTTTGTGGTATACCTGAGGAACCTGAACTTGTCACACACAGTGGGGAACAATAAGGAGAATCTTTCTCATACTTGTCAACACTAAAAGGAAATGTGGTCTTTTCATTCAATCCAGTCACCAGGTCCACCATGAAAAGGGATTCCCCAAACTACTTGATACACAACTGGGCAAAGACTGCTTCCTCTTTGTTCCCATAGTGTTTTATCCACACTTCTGTTTCAGTATCACACCTTAAAAACTAACAGAATGAATAAAACCCAGCATTTTCTTTTAAAATACTGGTTGGCCATCGCGACCAGTAGGCCATCTGTTCAGTTACAGCCTACGATCCAACACACCTGAATTTAATTATAATTGATGATGACCAAATGAAACTGGAAGCTTAAAGTTTAACTTTCCTCTTATGGTTGACTTGGGGATTTTTAGAGGGTTATTTATTTATTTTAGTATATGAAATTTATTGTCAAATTAGTTTCCATGTAACACCCAGTGCTCATCCCAAAAGATGAGAAGGTCCTTTATTTAGAACGTACGTGGTAAAATGGAATTTTAACATTTTACAAAGGAAAGACAGAGGAAAACATGTGCCTGGGAGAAGAGTGTTCATTCCCCTCACTTACCAGTACAGATTAGGCTTGGACCCTCTCCTTGCAGTTTCAGGTTCAACGGCTCTTCCACCTGTTCAAGATGGGAGATCGCAGCAGGCTTCAGAAATGGATATCCTGCCCGGGTCAAGATATAAATAAGGCTAGCTCAGTGAGAGGAGTGGGGCCCATGAAGAAAGGAGCAGAGATGGAAGTGGTAAGGGAGAATGAAGGTGGGTGGAGAGATCGGTACACAGATGACCTGAAACTGGAGGAAGTTAACAATATAAAGGACAGAAAACAGACCTTCAGGGAAGATGCGATTCCATCAGTTCCCTAAAACATGAAAACGCATCACTCATTTTTAAGTGTCAAGAAAAAATAGGGGACTAAGTTTTCTTCTTCACCTCCCCTAGGAGGTGAACTCCAGTTCACATGGAATAGAATTAGGAAAGGATTGAACTGCAAAGAACTATTCCTGAGGCTATGTTGGGAAACCACAGCCTCTAAGCTTAGCTTCCTTCTCGTCTGTCCATCTATTGCCTTCTCTTTCTACAAAGGATCAGTGATGGATCTCTCCATGGCATCCATTAGAAATGGCCTCACAGCCTTCACTCAGCCATTTCCAGAAGTCACTTCTTATTCTAATGACAGACACCTCAATTGCAAAGGTCCACTCTAATAAACTCTTCTTCAGGCTTAGCTAAGATTGGTCTCTTCATAACTCCCATGCAATGCCTTCTAAGAAACAGATCAATTTTTCATCCCCCAAATGACACTCTTTTATATTGCTGAAGCCAAGGACTGTGTGTCCCCTGAGTATTCTTTTCTTTAAGACAAAAATGGACTTTGAATAGGGACATGTCCTCAAAGGAAGTTTGCTGCAGGTCAGGGAGTTAGGGTTTTACTCAAGGAATGACTTAGCTGTTGGTTTTCTGCCTAAAGCAAAGACGAGAAATTCCTTTGGGTGGTGGGAGAGTAAGCACTGAGATCCTGAGAGAGTGCAGAGGACAGTGTAGTTGTCTCTCTACATCCATTCTACCAGTACCACCAACCCCTACCCCCACCCTGCCCATTATGGAGAGCCCTGCCTTTTGGGGGAGAGCGATCCCAACTCCAGTTCCTAGTGTACCCCTTACTGGTCTAAGACAAGCAGGTTAGCCCGCCCTACTCACTACACGAGAGACGGTTTCAGAAATCGGCAGTCTAGGCCAAGACAATCAGTGCATGCTATTTCCCTGGCCATAGTGATTGGTTTAGAGCTGGCATAAGACTTAAGATGGTACATCCCAAAGGCCTGAGGGAGGCCTGCCCTATTTCTCTCCCTAGGTACGAAGCAGCAGAGCCTTGGTTACAACTACCAATCACCTTACAGCCACGAGAGGAGCCAGGCTGTAGGCAAAGGCAGCATATAAGGAGACAAGAAAGAGCAGAGACTGAAACTGATCAAGCTGTAGCTGCACTCTATCTATGAACTTCCTACTTACATGAAATAGCAAATTCCTTTTTTGTTCAAGCCAGTTTGAACTGGGTTGTTACTTATAATCAAGGATATCCTAAGACTCTGGAAAGACAGCCAGACACAGCAAGGAACTGTGAGAACAAGGAAGTTGAGGGCACAGCTCAAGTTCCACTGTGCCCACAGAAGAGCTCCTGTGGGAAGAAGATGGAATGGTGCGAGGGAGGCCATAAGGGGCATAGCTGTCACTAGCAAATTAGGAACAGGAAAGCCCTATGTTCCTAAAGGAATGCCAGGGCTTTGCCCACCATAAATCCCTGAATTGGAAGTATATGGCTCAGAATTATTGAGACTTCTTGATTTCTAATGATAAAGATGACCATGATAGCCCAAAGGGCAGTCAGAATCTTCTTCTGGAAGATGATAAGCAGGCTGAGAAAGTAGAAAGGCCACCTCAGAGTGTAAACAGAAAAGTCAGGGAGTACAGATAAATGGTGACCATGATAAGAACAGTGGAAATGAGGAAGAGGCAAAAGAGGTAAATGAAAAGGAGCCAGGGTGAACAGACTCAAGAAGAGGGAAAACCATGGGGACACAGGAAAAAAGGGGGGGGGGGAGGAGAGGAATCCCACTGGTGTCTATAGCACTAGGTTAAGAGAACACATACCTACTACACTGTAAAGATCAAGACAAGGGAACTGGTCAGATGACTGGCACATGTACCCTCACTCACCTGTGGAGACGCCCCTCGGGCACTCTCCATCCAGAGCTCCCTGAGGAGCCTTGCACCAGGGCGCTTCCCCTCGCTCCAGCTGGGAAATCAGAGCCGGTTTGGGAAATGGAAATGCTGGTTGAGGGGGAGGAAATGGGACAGGCAGGTGAGTGGGGTGACATAGAGCAATCCCAAGGCTCCTCCCAGGCTTTGACTTCAGGGGCAGGAAGGGAAAAGAAGGGAATTAACCAGGGAAAGCGAGAAAAGAAAGTCCAGGGGAAGGGCCAGGAGACCCAGGGCAGCAGGGCCAGGAGGCTGACAAAGGTCAGGAATTAGACCGAGAGGTGCTCAACAACAGTTTGAGTGAGCGAACGGATGATTCCACTCGTTGAGAGATTGAGCTTTTTTGTTCTCTCCCTCTCTTAGAGCTCTCAAGTTCAGACATCTGCATCAGGATGCTTGGTATTGGGCTGGGTCTCCCAAACTAAGCGGGTGGGAAACTGAGGGTTTGGTGGGACACCAGGAATCTGCTCTCTTCCTACTGTACCCATTAGCACAGGAGTTGAGAGTTAGCTCCCACCCTGGGGCAAGAAAGGCTGATATGAGGCCCAAATTTACACCAGGACTTCCCACTTCTTAGCAACCGCTGAGGCTGGCTCATTAAGAATCCAAGAGTCTGAAGTTGCCACTCAGGTGAGGCTTATCAAAGACTCCAGAGCTTCTGAGAAGGAGGAGCCAGGGAACTCTGGAGGGCAGAAGCCGAGTCCAAAAGGAAAGACCCTTACCCAGGGAAGCCACAACCCCATAATTCTCCAGCATCACGTCCCTGTACAGGACCCTCTGAGCAGGGGCCAGGCCGATCCATTCATTCTCAGAGAAGTAGACGGCCACATCCTCGAAGGTCACTGACTCCTGAAACAACAGGTGTTTAAATGCCCTCGGACAATTCCAGACCCAGGCCTACAGTAGGGCAGATGAGGCACCAAGTGGTACTGGAGGGGATGCCCATTGAGTTTCTGCATTCTGAATGTCTAAGGGAACTCTCAGCGGATCTGCGTCTCCTACTTACAAAGATATGAGGGATCAGTCATCAATTTCTCACATTCCTTCATCTTAACTTCACCACATCACCTTTTTCATGAGTCTCTGCAAGCTTCCCCTTTCCATCCTGTGCCCAGAACAACTATGTGTGCCCTAGGTGCCATCCTTTCTCCACAATGTACCCTCCTCCAGAGGTCACCAACCCTTCATAACAAGTACAATCACCATTTACCCATTTGAGCCCATGCCAAGAACTTTACATATATTACTTTGTACGCCTCACAGCCTATGAGGAGGGTATCAGATTCACTTTATAGAAGAGGAAACCGAGGCTCAGAGTTACAGAACTGAGACAGAAGTCAGGCCTGTCTGACTCTCTGGCTCTTACTTACTGTACCACACTGCCTTCTATCCTCACTCCTGCCACCCCTGCTGCCCCTGTGTGAGATTCTTTCTCTTCTCTTCCTTCCTGTCATTGCCACTAGCCAAAGAGGCAGCTAAGGGCACCTGAGAACACTCAGGTTGCTCTGGAGGCTGGACTTCAAAAGGCAGATCCAAACTGACTTTGCTCCCTGCACTCTGCCCCTCCAACACACTCTCTAAAACACCCCACCCTACTCTTTCTTCCCCACTTCCCAGTTTTAATGTCCCCTTTTCCTGTATCTCTGGGAGGCCCAACCTTCTGCACCTTCTCTCTCACTTTCCTCCATAAGAAACATAAACAGTGCTAATGGAGAGCCATCAAGACTTACTTATAATTCCCAGCCACTGCCTCATTTAGGATCTCAATCTCCATACTATAGAGGGGCTGACTCTGTTCCATTTCACATCAGTCCTTGCCCTACAAAGTCCCCACAGAGACTTACCCGACACTCCAGGGTTCAGACTGGGGGGCCGGATCACCCTCACCTACCTCAAAATGTCCAAATCCTCTGCACGCAGACCATTCCATTCACTATTCAGAGACCCAGTTTACATGCCAAAGATCATCTCCTGCACCACCACCCTCATCCCCTATCCTGTCACCATTCTGTTATGAATCCAAACCCTTTCCTTGCCCAAATTGCACCTGCAATCTGTGCCATTGCACCTGCAGCCCCCCCTCCCCCCCTGCCTGGAGATCCAGTTCCTCCCTCCAGCGCCAGCAACCTCGTATTCATCTCAAGACCCACCTCAAACATAACCAGCTCTCTTAAAACCAGTGATATGGAAATTCTGGACATTCGTCGCTGCGCACAGCACTCTGTGAACACCTCCTCCCCAGCATTTGGCTCATGCCTGTGCAGCCGCACGTGTGTTTCCCCGGCTGGCGCAAGTCTGGGGGATGTCGAATTCATTCTGCTCCCTGCCTGTTCCTCCGGACCCTCCACTCTGGGCTGTACCCCGATTTCCCGGCCGCCGCACTGCCCCCTCCGCCCCTTCTCTGGACCTAGAGCACCGGGCAGGGCCGAGCCAGCTTCGTAGCGCCGGCCCCGCACTCACCGGGCGCGCCCGGGCCGGCGCGCGCAGTCCCGGTAGCAGCTCGAGTGCAGGGCCGAAGGGGGCGCCGCCCGCCAGGGCCGCGGCCGCCATGGCCAGGGCCGCCCTCCCGGGAAGCGAGCGCGCGCCAGGCCTTACTGGGGGCTGCCCGGGGTCGGGAAGGGACGCTCCGGACCGGGGCGGGCCTGATATAGCGGCCCAGGAGTCGGGCGCGCAAGCCCCAGGCTCCACGCCCCGGCCAGTCCCACGCTCAGCTCCCCACGCTCCGCACCGGAGAGGTGGAGGCTGCTGCACTCTTGCCACTCTGGCTTCTCTAGGACGGTGGAGGGCGCCACGTCTCTGTGGTCCTCCCTTCTGGCCCCGCAAAGAAACAGGGAGGGCAGAGCGAGTCCAGCTCTCCCACAGACACCGACTGCCTCAGGGCGCTGCTGTGGCAATGCGGGGAAGCGGGCGTGGGGGGGAGGCTTTGTCTGGGAATCCTTTCCCAGCCCTCTTCTTCCCACTGACCACTCTTCTTCGGTATTGCACTGCACCCTTGTAGGACGGATGCTAATATGAAGCAGCAAATACTTCACATAGCCGCATCCCTTTACTGGGTTCTACATTCCCAGAGAGCAACTAACGTCCTTGATCAACTTTGTGCCTCGAATATTCACCCAATGTCTAGCAACTCTTATGGCCCAGCTTCTTTAAGTGCCAAGGAATATCTGTCGAATAAAGGAATGAATAAATGTTGAAACAATTTTTCAGTTGAAGAAAGTAAGGCCCAAAGAGAGGAGATGGCTTATCTAAACATCACATAGCATGTCGGGGAAGTTAAAACTTTAAATGAAATTGTGGAAATAAAAGACCACCAACATGAGAGCAAGCAAAGGCTGTTTATTTAGAGCTTGCTCTAAGCAAAGGAGTCAACCACCATCACTTGCATTTGGTAGGCTTTAAGTCAGGCAGAGAAGTGAGAAAGCTTTATAGTTGGGGGGGGGGGCCGGGAAGAGACTCCAGGTATGCTCTGATTGGAGATTGTTGGCCTGGGGGGCTAACCAGAAGCAAAGCATCTTATGTGATTGGTTGGGAGAGGATATTAATCAAATTCTTGCCGGGCGGGGCTGACTGCTACAGGGTTTATTTTGGCTTCCCGAACTATTTGCCACAGATACTAGTTTGACTTCCCAGATTGGTAACTACAGATAATGGGTTGGCTTCCTGGACTGGTTGTTACAGACTGTGGGTCAGAGTTATATTTTTCTATATGGCCTGTCCACTTTCCATTTGTACATGTAGTCTCTTGGGATGAACAAATTAGGAAGATGTCTGCTTCACAGAAATTCCAGCCTAGAGGCTCATATTCCTTTTAGGTCCCCAGGTACTGAAAGCTTACAGATACCATACTTGTGAAAAATCACAGAACAAAGGAGACCTCAGATGAGCTCCAAGGTATGTTTATTTGTTTCTAAGAGGATTCAGAAGAAGCTCACAAATGGACACTAGTGAATAGTCCACGAGCACTGAGAAGGAAGCAGTGAGCCTTACCCTAGGACAGATCACTAGGAAAGATGAGCACACAACAAATGCTCCCATGATTTTCTTTGGAAAAAATGGAGAAAACTGCACTGAGTGCGAAACAATTATGGGAGTTTTGGCTCAGAACAAGGAGCCCTCAGATACCTGATTATTAAGTCATGGTCTTAAGGAAGACCATAAGGAAGGTCTCTTATGGCTCTGACCAGTGTTTTGATTCAAAACTAAAGAGGAGAGGGATAGTCTATCATATTTACCCATATATTTTTACTGTTTCTATTGTTCTTCCTGTTAAACACACAGCAGCAGGCAAGGTCAAGGCCATGTCCTAAGTGACTCAGCCAGTAGATACAATAAGCCACTTTTAGATTCATACAATGTATTACTTACACAAACAGCAAAAGGAAGAAAGAGTACCCAAGCATGCCGGTCTCCAGCTCCTTGTCCCATACACCAAACACAATGACACCAAAACAAAAAGGGGCTCGATGACTGCAACACCTGTGGTGAGGAGCCAATTTTAGACTATAGCTAAGCAGTTACAGTATGCAGTTACATCCAGAAAGCCTCATGCCTCTTCAGAATCTTAGAAGCAATGAGAAATTATCTCATGACAGCCTCCCATAAGAGATAGGGAAGGGAGTGGGAGATGGGCTTGAAGGCCAATAAAGCTCCTCTCATCCTCTCATGTTCTAGAAGGATCACAGGGTGATCTGCCATGGCTCAGAGTAACTGTAGCTCAAGGCTTTGCCTGCATGGACTATATAGATATGTGAAAACTTGCCAGGGCATGACGGTGGAGCCATTCCCCTACAACTAGACCTCTCAACTTTTACACATAAAGATTCTCAGGAACATGAGCCACCATGTATGTCATCAGATGCTCTAATTAGTTGTAATGCTAAAGGCCTGGATCAAATACATTCCATTTGTCTTAGGCAACATTAGACGAAAGTGACCGTGATAGTGATACACAGTAGTAGAACCAGGCCCACTAGAGAATGGACCATAGTCAGGCTCCTCATGCAGAGCCAAGCCAGCTAAATGTGTCATTATTCTAAGTGAGGCAAGTGGCACATACCCCACCTAAATTGGCCAGCAAACAATCCAGGTAGTACAATCTCCATTACCACTCATGCTAGAGAATTTAGAACAATCAGTAGTCTGTGAAAAATGTACAAAAAGTCCAACAATAACAGGATAAGGCTAAATGGAGGCATTTCAATGTCCAGAAAGTTCATCTTATTCTGTTGTTTCTTGCTGAGAGTATTTCTTTCTGGAGTCAGTGGCTGTTGGGAGATTCTGAGAGTCTTTAAATTAGGATTGTTTGTTGGTCAGTAGTCAAATTGAGGGTGGTGATGGTGGAAGCTTGGGTTAAGTTGGTAAGATATCCTACAGACAAAAGCTAAGAGATTCATGGTCCCTCCCTCTGCCCCTGATTTCTCAGGGTCTAATTCTTACCAACCAGGGTTGTCTCTCTCCTTACACAGCCATATGACCATTACGACTAGTCTCTGCAACAATCACTGCACCTTTCCCCCAATTCTCTCCATATCTAACCCACACCATATGCTTAGACTCATCCCTAGTTAGCTCAGAAGTTCCTTTCTTTTATAATTTAGAACATTCTAGAATATCTCCCACCCCCTGACATGTGGGCCATGCCAAAACACCTTAGTAGTTTTCACCTTATTATTCATGATCATTATGATCATTATCTATAATTGTCCAAATCCAGCAAGCATGGGTGGGGTGAGGGGATACACTAAGTTCCAGTCTCCAAGTCCCCAGCTCTTTTTTTCCTACTTTCAAATTCTAGTAGTCCAGTTTTCCAGGGATAGGCATAGGAGGGAAAAAATAGAGTTATATGGGTTATTATGTGGTTTGGGTTTCCTGCAGCCAGTTAGGGCTTTCTTCCACTCTTGAACCTCATAATTAGACATTATGCTTGAATGGGAGGTACTCTTTTAGGTAATTATCACATTTGGAACCCTAACAGACTATCTTAATTTGTACACCACTAAAAGCTTAGGCTTGATTGTCCAACTATCTTTTTCAGTTTTTCAGAGTTCACTCTCTCTTTTAACAGCACCTGCTTCTTGGGGATGATAAAGGTCATGAAAGGTCCAGCTAATGTCCCAGGTAGTTGTCCACTGTTGTACTTTTATCTATAAAAGTACCACTATTATCTTATTGGGAGTGTTTGGGGAAGCTAAATATGGAACATAGGTCATCTAAGAATCTTTGAATGGTATTGTCCACATATGCCTTGTGGAAAATGGTAGTGCCATATCCTGAAAGGATGTCTACTGTAGTCTATGCCCAGCAGTATTCTTCATATGAAGGTAGGGAATCCATTCAGTCTATTTGCCAGGACTTGTCAGGTCCAGTACCCCGACTTATGTGCTTCAGAGTTTCGTTTCCTATTCAACTGTGTGGCTGGCAGTCCAGCCATATTTGTCAAGCTTCTTCTTCTTCTTTTTTTTTTTCCTCCGAGAGAGAGGGAGAGAGAGAGAATGAGAATGGAGGATAGGGACAGAGAGTGAAAGAGAGAGAATATTAAGCAGGCTCCTGATTCCTGCTTTTACGGTTTCTTATCTGTTTGTAGAACTTCCTTTAGCCATCACTTTAGGGTCGGTGTGCCAGTGACAATTCTCTTAATTTTCCTTCATTTGAGAATATGCTGATTTTACCTTCCATTCTAAAGGATACTTTTACTGGCATAGAATTCTGAATTAACAGTTCTTTTCTTTCATCAGTTACCTGATAAACTGTGTGCCACTTGCAAATGATTTTCACGGTTTCTGGTAAGAAATCCAAGGTCATCTGAGTTGTTTCTCTATATGTGATATGCTGTTTCTCTCTAGCTGCTTTCAAAACATTTTCCTTGTCTTTAGATTTTTGAAGTTTGATTACATTGTGTCTGGACTTGAATTTCTTTGGGTGTATCCTGTTAGGGGTTTGTACAGCTAATTTTTTTTTTAATTTTTTTTTTCAACGTTTATTTATTTTTGGGACAGAGAGAGACAGAGCATGAACGGGCGAGGGGCAGAGAGAGAGGGAGACACAGAATCAGAAACAGGCTCCAGGCTCTGAGCCATCAGCCCAGAGCCCGACGCGGGGCTCGAACTCACGGACCGCGAGATCATGACCTGGCTGAAGTCGGACGCTTAACCGACTGCGCCACCCAGGCGCCCCGAGATATTCTTTTTTAACGTAAGCATTTATAACTATAATTTTACCTCTGAACACTGCTTTCATTATATACCATGGTTTTTGGTATGTTGGTTTTAATTTTCATTCATCACAAGGTATTTTGTAATTTCTCTTATGATTTATTCTTTCAAGAAGAAAGCTTTAGGAAGTTTGCATGTGGATTCTTTCAGACTTCTTGCGTATCTTTTTCCCTTATGATCTGGCTATATATCCTTAGTACACCGCTGTAATAAATCTTGGAGTACAACCATATGCCAAGTCCCATTAGTTCTTCTAGGGACTCTCTGAATGTTAGGGTGGTCTTGGAGCTTCCCCATAGGTCGATGAGGATTAGATTGCTTAACACATGTAAAGCATCTAGCATCTTGGCTCATGGTAAATTCCCAAAATAAGAATAGTGATGGTTATAGTTACAATGGGGATGACCAGTACAGAGACATGAACAGGATAGGTGCTCAAGGTCAATCAATCCAATTCCCATCCTATCCCTCCATCTTCTCCCACTATATTCCCTCATCTAAGTCTCTTAGCAAATGCACAGCCCAATATCTTTATAATGGCATCTCACTCTGGCAAGTACCTCAAGTTTAGCTTCCTGTTTTACACAGCATAATAGTAAGGCCCAGAGAGGTAAACTGAAATGTCCTGGGTCATGTCATGAGTTGGTGACAAAGTTGTAACAAGAACCCAAGTTTGCCTTTTAAGTCCCTCATTGACTTCACTGACACTTGGTATATGTGATACAGACTAGGAGTAAAATAATTAACCTGGGGCCAGGCTGTCAAGAACCCAGCTGCTGTGGAGGTATTTCCTTCTCTTCCTAGAAAAATAAGAAACCTTGAAAGCTAGGAATTAAGAGAAGCCATAAACAAGTTCAGCCCAAAATCAAATGAGACTACTATTTGATCTAAAGGCAGAGTGAAACAATTTGCCCCCTGCATCTCCATTTCTACAGTACTGTTGTTGACTTCTGCGGGTGAGGTAGTGGGCAGGAAGCAGGAGGCACCGAGGGAGCAGTGAATACCATCAAGCATTGGAACAAAGGGCAAACAAGAGGCAGAGAATAGCCAGTACAGCTGCACTAAATAAAGAACACCCCAAAGAGAATCCCAATATACAAACCACAGCAAACCCTCCAATGGGTGCACGATTGCTCAAAATTCTGGGCCATATATGGAACGAAAAGACATGCGACTAGACTGGACCAGAGACCCTCTCGAGCGCTGTCTAGAGGTCTCAAACCACAGCCCACCACCCCTGCCCACCACGGAATGGGCAAACGAGGTGTGCAAGAAAGGAGCACAAAAAAATGTTGAAGGACAGCCGAAACAATGCTCCTGCCAGGTCTCCGGGGTGAGAAGTCTCAGGAATACGGACCCACGTGGCGGCTACGCTCAGCGAGCTCGTCGGTGGCAGTGAAGGAGGCAGCCCTTGTCCGCACGCCTTCCCCCAGCCCCACGCCCTTACTGACCAGCTCCGCAGACGAACTGACAGCCACACAGCACCTCTACGTGAAGCCCAGCCGACGGACGGACAGAGAGCGCCTCCGCGCGGAGGACTGCCCACACACCACCCTACAGACTCCGTCGCAGAGACTGCCAGGGCGGAAGTGCGTCACCGCCCCTCCCGCGCTTGGGCCCGCGCCCGCTCTAGCACGCCCGGAGGCCATCTCTGCGTGTCGTTGGTCCTTCCAGGGCTCTGAGTTCACCTGTGTAACTCTCTGTCCCACCCTCCTGCGGAGCTGCGACCCTATTTGGGAATGGTGAGGCGTGCCGCTGGGCTCCTGGGGCTTGCTCTGGGTAGCTGGCCCCCGGCCACTCGGGAGGGTTGTGAGGGCAGCCGCATAGGCCGATTTCGCTGGGGCCGGCTAGCCTCTGCCCTTGGCAAAGCCGGTGATCGCTGCCCTCCATCAGACCGCCCTTCGGTGGCTATAGGTGGACTGAACCAGCTGGCGTGAGAGGAGTTGAGTGCAGCGCGATAGGTTAAAGCCCAAATTCGCGCTGAGCCTGCCCAGCCTGCACGGTGCTGAAAACTCCTCGGCTTCCACTGAGCCCTCCAGCCACATTGGCCCCGAATGTGTGTGCACCCCGTTCCTTGGAACGGCGCTGCTACAGTACGTTGGGCGGCACACCCCAAAAGCTCTCAGACCTTCACCTGTAGCACCACCACCATACAACACGCATTGACCAGACTTTGCCTTCCCCCAGGCCTCCATTTAATTACCACCTAATCAGTGTGGCCTTCCTGACTCCCCACCCCACTTTCCACTCTGCTCCTCTCATTTGCTACCTTTAACACAATTGTAATTACATACGTCTATGGGCAATGATTTAATATATTTTTCCCTTCCTTAGACAGGTACTAAAGGTATTTGGCGACCGCTCCGTGCAGGGAGACCACCGGATGATAACACTCTGCCAGCACCAAATACCTCATGGGGGATGGCTTGAGGACAGGATCTCAACAAAACCATGCTGGACAGCCTGTCCTTGGTTATACTGGGGCCCACGGGCCAGAGTCTGGATGCTGGTTGCTGGCGTGAAGACGGCCTCTTCCACTTCTGCTACAATGTGTTGTTCAAGGCCGGCTACCTGAGCTTATTTGGCTGTACGAAGAACCAGGAGCAGGACCTGCTACAGGCAGAGGAGTTATTTGTCCAGTTCCGCAAGTTTGATCTCTTGTTCCCCAGGTTTGTTTATTCCTTGCTGGGGCCCTGGGAGTGGCTAGAAGTGGCCCGGCTCCAGTGGCTCTTCCACAGGATGCTCTCTGTGAACCACCACCTGGAGAAGAATGGCATAAGCAACTGGATATCCTACACGCTTCAGTTTCTGAGGGAGCAGCAGGGGCCATATCTGTCTCATTCAAAGTTGGTTATAGCAGAATTTCTGGCAGTAGGTGCCAAGTAAATATCTGTTGAATGGATATATGGGACTGTTCCAAGGAGGGAGGGAATGAAATGAATCAAGGTAAGAATGAATGTAACATGGTGCTGTCATCCATTAAAAACTGGGGAACAATGTTTAGCTTATGCATGTTGGCCCACAATTTCTGACTGCAGATTTAGGCTGGGGAGAGTGGATGATTCTGAGTACTTGCTGTGGTTTCCCTAAGCAATCAGAGAGGACTTCATGGAGGCAAAGTGTAGACATTTCCAGCTCCCTGCAGAGGGGAATGGCACAAGGCAAAGGGAACTCAAGAGGTCATGTGGAAATCAGAGGAGACAAAGTCCCTGTTTGCCAATCAATTAGGAAGTTAAAGAGTAACCTGAGGTCACTAGAACTGGTTGAATTCTGAACCTCACCTTATTGCAACAATGGCCTTAGAGTCAATGGCAGAACTTTCTCCTTCCTGGGCCTGCTGGCAGGGACCTAGCCTGACACCTCACAAAAGGCCCCCAGTAAATGGTCAGCTCACCTCACCCAAGCCAGGACAGCAGTGAGAGAAAGTTCCCACTATACTCTGAGACTACACCCTTATCATGAAATAAAGTGACTGGTTTGAAGTGCTTCTCATCTCTGACATTTCATAATTCCAAGATTCCGAATCTGTCTTTCTTGCTAGAGAAGTGTGCAAACTAGGCCAGGGGTAGGGCTCCAGTCCAGAGGCTGAGGGATGGTAGTCTGAACCTCTGCTTTAAGAGTCATCAGTCTGGGAGGCTCTCTGGGTCATTTAATAATGAGGAACGGACAGGATGTGAAACTTTTCTTTTTAATTTAATTTAATTAATTAATTTATTTAGAGTGGAAGAGGGGCAGAGAGACAGGGAGAGGGAGAGAGAGAGAAAATCCTAAGCAGGCTCCGTACTGTCAGGGCAGAGCCCAGGACAGGGCTCAAACTCATGAACCATGAGATCATGACCTGAGCCGAAATCAACAGTCAGACACTTAACTGACTGAGCCACTGAGACACCCCTAAATGTGAAACTTAATAAATGAGTGTTGAATTTATGCTGAGTGAGGTAGTAAACTAATGAATAAATGAATCCTTGAAAAAATACAGGTGTGAATGGTCAGTAAATCGTGGGGATGGGGTGGGATCCATGAGAGCTTTGTAGATACCATTCTGGGGCTGGGTCTGAAAAGATTACAGCAAAGCCTAAAGCTGGTGAGGAGAGGCTTCTTTCTGGGCTTCCTTCTGGTCCCACCCCCTCCTTCCACACGACGAGGTTGCAGCAAGTGCTAAATCTAGGAGAACATTTTGCTCCTAGGTACTGTCTTGCCAGGGATTTTTAGTATAACTTACTGCCACAGGGCAAGGTCCAGGTCCACCCCCAGCTTGTCAAGGCCTCTCAAAAGCTCTCTGGCACTTAGAGAACAGTGTGTCCAGAGCTCAACCTGGAAGAGCATAGCCATGGTGCTCTGGGGTCTGGTGCTGGGAACCCTGCTGGTGGCCGTGGTGGGGTGCCTGTGGCTGCTGGGGCTGTTCCGGCAACGCAGACCTCAGGAGCCCCCTCTGGATAAGGGCTTCATACCCTGGCTGGGCCATGCCATGGCTTTCCGGAAGAATATGTTTGAATTTCTGAAGTATATGCGGGCCAAGCATGGAGATGTGTTCACAGTGCAGCTAGGGGGCCAGTACTTCACCTTTGTCATGGACCCGCTCTCCTTTGGCTCCATCCTCAAGGATGCACAGAGAAAACTAGACTTTGTGAAATATGCAGAAAAACTGGTGTTAAAGGTATTTGGCTACCGCTCCATGCAGGGAGACCACCGGATGATACACTCTGCCAGCACCAAATACCTCATGGGGGATGGCTTGGAGGATCTCAACAAAACCATGCTGGACAGCCTGTCCTTGGTTATACTGGGGCCCACGGGCCAGAGTCTGGATGCTGGTTGCTGGCGTGAAGACGGCCTCTTCCACTTCTGCTACAATGTGTTGTTCAAGGCCGGCTACCTGAGCTTATTTGGCTGTACGAAGAACCAGGAGCAGGACCTGCTACAGGCAGAGGAGTTATTTGTCCAGTTCCGCAAGTTTGATCTCTTGTTCCCCAGGTTTGTTTATTCCTTGCTGGGGCCCTGGGAGTGGCTGGAAGTGGCCCGGCTCCAGCGGCTCTTCCACAGGATGCTCTCCGTGAACCACAACCTTGAGAAGAATGGCATAAGCAACTGGATCTCCTACATGCTTCAGTGTCTGAGGGAGCAGGGAACGGCCCCAGCCATGCAAGACAAGTTCAACTTCATGATGCTCTGGGCCTCTCAGGGGAACACGGGGCCTAATTCTTTCTGGGCCCTTTTGTTCCTCCTAAAGCACCCGGAAGCCATGCGTGCTGTGAGGGAGGAGGCTGCCCAAGTCCTAGGGGAGGCCAAGCTGAAGGCTAGGCAATCCTTTGGCGTTGAGATCAGCGCCCTGCACCACACGCCAGTGCTGGACAGCGTGATGGAGGAGACGCTGAGGCTGGGAACTGCACCCACCCTCCTCAGAGTGGTGCACGGTGACCATATGCTGAAGATGGCCAGTGGACAGGAGTACCTGCTCCGCAGTGGAGACATCGTGGCCCTCTTCCCTTATCTTTCAGTGCACATGGATCCTGACATCCACCCGGAACCCACTGCCTTCAAATACGATCGCTTCCTCAACCCCAACGGTAGTCGCAAAGTGGACTTCTACAAGTCAGGCAAGAAGATCCACCACTATACCATGCCGTGGGGCTCGGGTGTCTCCATCTGCCCTGGGAGGTTCTTGGCCCTCAGTGAGATGAAGCTTTTTGTCCTGCTCATGGTCACATACTTTGACCTGGAACTGGTGGATCCTGATACCCCTGTGCCACCTGTGGACCCCCGGCGCTGGGGCTTTGGCACCACACAGCCGAGCCGTGAGGTGCGGTTCCGCTACCGCCTGCGTCCTGCCAAGTGAGCTCCGCCAAGGGGGCCGCAGGCCTGGCCAGGGAGGCTCCCTTAGGGTCTCCGCCTCCTCTCACCCCTCTGAAGCCCCACCCTCGCCTCCGGTTCTGCGATACCTCCTACCTGTGTCCTAGTCGCCTTCCTTGCTCTCTGGTTTTCCTCTAGCCACCTGATGGGCTTATCTTTCTCTCTTGAAACACCGTCTGTCACCGTGGGTTCCGCAGGACCTTCCTCTCATATGAAGTCCAGGGGAATGGGGGGAAATCTGGGGGAAACTTAGTTGGGGAAATGATGGCATAGCTTGACGAGTCTTGCCGTACAGAAACCAGTCATCATGAGTAACACAGTGTCCTGCAAATGTTAACCTCCACCCTCCCACCTCACTGTATTATCTTCCTCAATGCTTACTCCACATCCTGTGGAATTCAGGTTCGTCCAAAGCAATACGAGGCAAGCCACATGTGTAATTTTTAATTTCCTAGTTGATACATTTTTTTAAAAGGTAAAAAGAAACAGGTGAAGTTAATGTTTATAATATACTTAGCCCAATAGATCAAAAATATTAGCATTTCAATATGTCAATATAAGAACATTAGTAAAATATGTATTTTTTAGTAACATTGGGACAAAATATATATATAAAACATTAGTAAAAAAAAATATATATATATATATATTTTTTTTTAATTTCTTTTTGTGTGTGTGTTGCCTTCAAAATCTGGTATGTACTTTTTACCCTTGCAGTGTATCTCACTTCAGACTAGCCACATTCTAGTGCTCACCAACCACATGTGGCTAGTGGCTCCTGAATTAGATAGAGCGGGTCTGGAGAAACGCTGCCTTTCACATAGGAGTTATTCAAGCGGCACCCCCCCCCCCCCCCAGTGCCCTTGTCTCCCCTCCACACTCCCACCTCAGGGTGGTCTCAATCCCACCTGTAGTCTCCACAACCACAGCTGAGTTCAGAGCTCTCTCCTACTTCCAGACCCTCAATCTCCCCGCTGGGGTCCCACAGCACCTCTGACTCAGTTTGGCCCACACAGAACTCAGCATCTGTCTCCCCACCTCTGTCCTGAACCACCTCCTTCTCCGGATTACCCTACCTGCCTCTGCTCCGGACACCACCACCCGCCCCATCCCCCAGGACAGATCTGGGAGAAACCGGATCTCCTCCCCACTCTCACCCACAAACAGTCAGGCCCCAGGTCTGTCAGTTCAACCCTCTGTCGTGCCCCCGAAACGGTCCTCTTTTCCCCAGCCCCACTGCCATTCCTATGACTCAGCACTCGGCACACCTGGCCTGCCTGGCCCTCGGCGCACCCAGCTGCCAGAGACCTTTCACCAGACCTTTTGCCTGTCATACTTTCACTTTTCTGGTTCCCTGTCACCTCCTTGCACCTAACATTTGAATTTTGCCACAGTTGATCCCAAATGTTCAATCCAGTGCAATTCAGCCTTACCAACTTTCTCCAGTGGAACTGTCTGGAAAGTACAGTTGCTTGCTTTTTACTGCCAACCTGGAGGCCTTCCTGGATCTCACCCATTCCAGCCTCTGGCCAGAAATGGGCTCCCTCCCCTGAGGTTCCCCTGACACAGCTTGTGTCCCAGCACATCTGTTACTTGTTGTTGCTCTCTGTTTCCTGCTTTCCTCCTCCTGCCCCCTCCCCCGGACTGCAGCCCACAGGGCTTGGTATCTTATTACTTCATCCCTGACCCCCAATTCCCTAAATGGAGATTAAATGATAGAAAATTGGCTCAGTCTCAGCTACTTTACTTCATGTCCTCAAATCATTTCCTTCCCCTCCCTGGCCTCACTCAGCTTCCTGGCATGTGAAATGGAGAGTCCCATTGCCAGGCCTGCCTACCAGGGCTGGAAGTGCTGCTACCAGAGCCACAGCTGGCTGATGGCAGGGCCTGGCTGCGGCTGGGGCTGGAACAGGAGGAGCAGTCACTGGGAGCTTGCGTAGAGTCCTGGAGAAGGGAGGCCGGGCAGCAGAGACCCCCTGCAAGGATGCCTAGTGGGGCTTCTCTCCACTCACCTCTCCCAAATCTGTGACTGGCCTCTTGCATTTTTTTGAGGCTGGCTGTTCTGCCCTGAGTTTTGCCAAGATAACAGGCTATTAGAGTAACTCAGGCAAGGGCTGGGGCTGGGGCTGGGGCTGGGGCTGGAGGCAGGAGTCTGTCCCCACTAGCTGTGTGACTGTGGGCCAGAGTCTGCCTTCCTCTGGGTCTAACTGCCCCCAAATGACAACCTCTGTCTAGAGCCTGACAGAGCTCTGACTGCCTTGGAGAAGCCAGGATATCCTAACCTATCCCACAAGGGGCCAGGAGCACAAGAAGAGACACACAGGGAGAACAGGGGAGGGAGAAGGGGACTGAGAGGCTGGAAACCACCATGGAGAGCTTATCAGTGACCTCCCCACACAGCCAGGCCCTGTGCCAGAGCAGGTATTGGGATACAGGCAAAGATGCAGGGCCTTCACACACCTCCTGGGCACTGCTCAGGTGCTACACCCCCTCATTTTCCCTCTACCCAAAGAAATCTGGACCAAGGGCCTGGCCTGTCAACAGGCTGGGGGGCAGGACTGAGGGCCCAAATCCATTAAGTCAAGACCAAGAGGTCTCAACTGAGAGTGATCTCCCAGGAACTGCATGTTTGAGCGTATACCTGGGACCAAGGGAAGCCTCAGTGGGTCAGAGGTGTGGGGTGACTACAAGTATACCGTCCCACAGCCCATAACAACAGGCCTCCCAGGAAGCAGTGAGCACCCAGGATTATAGTGTGCATGTAGGGGCCAATGCCCAGCTGCGGGCACAGGAGGGGCCCATGGCACCTGTAGTCCTACGCCCCTTGCATGGGGACTGGACACACTCTCTGCAAGGGCCACCCTTCCTTCCCTAGCAAGGACCTTGAGGCAGTAGGAAGATTGAGACCCCCAAGGATACATCTAATCACTACCTGTCCTGACACAACAGTCCTGACCCCCAAATCCTCATTTCTGCACCAAATTTTTTCTCCCTCAAAGAAAAGCCCACTATGTGTATTCTCTAAGGATAGCTTATAACAAAGTAAGATCAGAGATGGCATGCCAAAGGTGGAACTGCAGGTACCTGGGAAAGAAAAATATTTTTTCCATAGGCAGTAATAGCTGTAAATCCTCAAACCACATTTCACAGGGTAGAGGCAGAGCCATGCCTGTCCCTCTCCCTGGGTCAGCCAGGGGAAGAGTCCATCTTGCCGCAGAGCCTGAGGACCAAGAGAATCATGGGAGCTTTCCTGGAAAGGCGTGAGCAGTGTAGCCAGCGAACTAGGCCTTTGGGTGGGCAAACGGAGAGCAGCAGGAGGAACCGAGGTGCGGACTGGGAAGTAAGGTCAGGATGAAGAGGTCTCTGTCCTGGCCTGGGCTGTGAGAGCCCAGCTCCAACTTGCTTCCTGACCAGTGCCTTCTGTGCTGTAGTCAGAGCCCTCGCCATGGTCAGCTGCAGTACATGGCAACTAGGACAGTGAGAGGGACCGAGGGGTCACTGGTGGCCACCCTTTCCCCTGCCCCTTGGGCACCGGCTTCAGGGCACTTCTTATATACCTGTTGTTTGCAGAGAGCACATACCCACACTTACACAGCTAGAGAAAGACACATAGGAACACACAGACACAAGGCCCAGGGGACACAGTGACACATTCATGTCAGATCCACATAGCTATATGTACTATGCACAGCCCACACAGCAACACAGACATGTGCACATAGACTACATGTACACACATCTGCCAGTGCTGGGGATAAGCCCTGCTAGGTGTCCCTTGGCTGGCATACCTTATCCCGTCTCATCTATGCATCATGGATACGATGTCAGAGACTCTGGGTACCTAGACCCAGTTGGTACAGCTCAGGCTGTATCTCACCAGTCAGGCTGCTATGTGGGCAGGACTGAGGTCCCTTGTGCACCAGATTTCAGGAGCTCCAAAATAGAACCCCACTCCCCCACATCCTCAAACAAATCATCACCTTCAGATACAGAGCTTCATTTCCCAGGGCACCAATGGAGCTCAGAGTCCTTCCTGACAGTGGGACTCTGGGGCCTTAGGAGAGACAGCTAAAGAACAAGGATGAGGGGACAGCTGGCTGAAAAAATGATCCCTGTTACACAAGAAAGTGGGCAAGCACAAAACATAGAGGTGGGAATGTGTAAGAGACAAGGGGTACCTGGTGTCCAGGAAGTGAAAAGGAATGACGGACTATAAGGGTAAGATGGCATATGGGATTCTACATGTGAAAGCTCCAGCCCTGAAGCCAGACAAAAAATTTAGACTTGATTGTGCAGGCCCCAGGGACCCTTGAAGGCTCCAGAGCGGGGCATGGGAAGCACAAGAAGGAAGAGCCTCCTGGACTGCCATGTTCACCTGGCATCCCACCTGCTGACTCTCATGTTCCTGGGAAGCTCCCCAGGTGGGGCACTTCCAGGCCCTCCGGCTTGCCAGACCCTTGGCAGTGCCATCAAAGCTGTGACATTAAACGATACTGCAACAATATTTTCCCAGCTGAGCTACAGGGAAGAGGGTACACTGGTGGGTGGCAAGCCTTGGACTACTCTGAGGAAGATGGCACTGATGGCTGAGGGTGGGTGATCATGCTGGCTGCTGGGAGCAGATTAGATGACAGGACGTAGCATGATGATAAGAAGCACAGAGGTCAGTTAGAACACACTGTAGCGATTCATGCAAGAGAGTATGATTTCCTGGAAGGCAATAAAGAAAGTGAAAGGAAGAGGCAGGAGTAAGTAAATGCTGCTGATGGTTGAGAACTGAGAACTGACCACTGGGTCTGACAACATGGTCCATGAGGCCCCTGAAGAGAGGACTTTGGGTGGATGCCCAACTGAGCTGGGTCCCATCCACTCTCACCAGACTGTGGTATGGCCACTCAGGCTTCATTTTCTCCCATGTCATTCATGTCAGGGGAGTGCTCAGCCTGCCTCTCCCCAAGGTCATTCATGCCAGTCATTTCTTCTTGGGCAGTGAGCCTGCTACTCTCAGAACAGCTGGACAGTGGGGCCTGTGCAGGGCGAGGTGCCTGGTTGTACCAGAGCACAGTGATGAGGAAAGCCTTCAGGTACCCGCGGAAGTGGCGGCTGGAGAAGGCATAGAGAATGGGAGTGAAGCAGCAGTGAAGGAAGGCAATGCTCTCTGTCACCTGCAGGGCATAGTCCAAGTGCTGGCTAACCTTGCAGTCCCCAAAGATTTGCAGGTCCAGCAGTGAGTGCAGAAACAAGGTGAGGTTGTATGGGAACCACAGCACAAAGAAGGCCACCACGAGGGCTACGACTATCTTCAGAGCCCGGCCCTGGCCTGGGGGCCTCAGCCTGACCAGCACAGAGCCAATGCGGGAGTAGAAGAAGATCATGACAAGGAGTGGAAGGAGAAACCCCAGGACGTTCTGCTGGAAACGGAGAAAGAGCTTCCAGATGGTCCCATGTCCTCCGAAATCTGCATAGCAGTTCCACACGCCTGTGGGGTTTTCATGTGTCTGCACAAAGACCATGTCAGGGATGGAGACAGCCAGGGCCACAGTCCATACCATGGCAGCCAGGAGCAGGCTTTTGGCCTGGGTCCTCAGTCTGTGGTGGGGCTGAGTGTGGACGATCTCCAGGTACTTGTCCATGCTCATGCAGCTAATGAAGAAGATGCCACTGTAGAAGTTGATGGTATAGAGGGTGCTCACCATCTTGCATAAGAAACTCCCAAAGACCCAATGCCAGGCCACAGAGATGCCCCAGAAAGGCAGCGTCACCACAAACAGGAGGTTGGAGATGGCCAGGTTCAGCAGATAGACCTCAGTCATCCGCCTGCGAGGCATGTACCGGAGCAAGACCACTAGAAGAAAGAGGTTTCCTCCCAAACCCAGCACAAAGATCAGGCTGTAGAAGACTGGCAGGAAGATCCTGCCAAAGGACATCACCTCATCCTTCCGGCAGAGCATGAAGGCCACACTGTCCAGGTAGTACTCGTAGTCATAGAAGGAGCTCCTGTTCTCAGAACTGGCAACCTCAGTGGTAGGCAGCAGAGGGGAGGCGGTGGAGGCCATGTTAGGAGGACACGCCCAGTTCTGGAGCTCTGTGGACCAGAGTACAGTGGGAGAGAAATAAGATGAAACCAGGCACTCTCCACCTCTCTCCAAACCCGCTTTTACTGCTGCTCTGGGAGGCCCAGCAGACTCTTCACATTGACCTCAGTACCTGTAGGTCAGCGAGGAAGAGCGCAAGTGTGGGGAACCTGAGCCTACCACTTTAGCCATGCCACCCTGGGTGGGTAGCTTAACCTCAGATGTTCTCATAGTACTCACTTATTTCATTATGGCTTCTCCTCTTTATTTTCCCCTTCATCATTTAAAAGAACTGATACGACCCAGTAATTGCACTACTAGCTATTTATCCAAGGGATACAGGTGTGCTGTTTTGAAGGGGCACATGCACCCCAATGTTTATAGCAGTGCTATCGACAATAGCCAAAGTATGGAAAGAGCCCAACTGTCCATCGACAGATAAAGAAGATGTGACGTATACACACAATGCAATATTACTTGGTGATCAAAAAGAATGAAATCTTGCCATCTGCAATTATGTGGACGGAACTAGAGTATATTACGCTAAGTGAAATTAGACCGAGAAAGACAAATATATGACTTCACTCATAGGTGGAATTTAAGTTACAAAATTGATGAACATAAGTGAAGGGAAGCAAAAACAATATAAAATA